GGGGGGGGGGGGGGGGGGAGATGTGTCTATGGTACAGGCCAACGCACACAAGAGAGTGAGCACAAGTGTGGACGAGTCAGTCGAGTGCCCAGATATCGTTGCCTGCCGGATGCCGTGGTGCGCACGGGCGGCCTAAGAATAAAGAATGGCTGACTGCATGACGTCACGTGCGTGTTGTGGGTTATCAGACTCTCTCGTCCCCACTGAAGGAACCAGAAATCAAATACGCTCATGCAGCCAGCCAATTTCACGCATGCAACGCAACCATGTACCCGCCCGACACAGACAGACAGACAGACGCCCCAGCCAGCATTTGCACATTCACCGACCAAATCAAGAAAGAGAGGACGATCGACCGAGTGAATCGTCTGTTCACCGCCTAGAATCTGAGAAGGTTTCGTCCTGAGCCATTCTCAACCTCGTCCGCAGGCTCCTCGAAGGCGGCCCCAAACACATGACGCAGCTCGGTGCTGTTCAGCTCATCGAACTGGGCCACGGGTACGTTTTCGACGGTAGTTTCATTGCCGCGACGGACAATAGGAAAAGGCCCGTCTTTCTCCGACACGCCAATGGGCCTCCCACCGGGGCAACTGAGGGTGATTGTTGTCAGAGAATTACCACTTTCATGTCTGATAAACTCGTTGAATCTCTGAAACAAACGGACACACTCGCATAAGCGCAACGACATCTCGAGATGTGCCTCTACACTTACACCTCCGAGACAATCACTGGTGGCGTCACCAGTCCAGCGGATTGGGCGTGGGAAGACACTTCCAGAGGGTGGGCGGCGTTGGCCGTTAGCCGCCCACAAGTGGAAGTCGCCAGTGTGGTCGACAGGACTGCGAGACACACATAACACGACTGTACCACGGTCGTGCATTTGGGATGCTGTGCAGGTGGGATACTGAGCATTCGGTATCTCACCTGAGAAGTTTGCAGCCCCTTTTCGGAAGGCGGAAAAAGCCACAGGTGGGAGAGGTGGGATTCTTCGGAAAGACTCTGAGAAGAAAAAAGGGCCCTTCATCGAAAGTTGCACTCCTAGGACCGGGGCACTCGTTGCACACTTGAAAAGAATGGGCTGAGGTCCCGGGCAGAAAAATCGACGCGCTCAGCAGAGCCAGGGCGATCGCAGCGAGAGAGTGGGCCATCCTGAGAGAAGGCTGGGAAGGCTGACGGCCGCGTGGACAGCGTGTGTGAAGGACTGGGGGTCCCTCTGCTTCTCGCCCTGCTCCCTTTCCCAGACCGCTGCCGTTAACGTCTTCGGTTAGCGTCCTCCTCCATTTGGATCGCAGGAATGGGTAACCTTCGCCACTCGCCCCTACATCGGTCCTGATGTGAGAGCGGAGAGAACGCCAAATTGGCCGGGATGACATGGAATCTAAGCTCGCAAGCATGGCTCGCCAGATGTGAAAACCGCTGCGTGCGAAAAGCGCTCAGTAAAACGAATACAAACAGTGGAATCCGCCCGAGGTGATGTCGCCATTTCTTTCTTATTCGAGATCTACGACCTTCTTAAATCGGTGACTAGAAGTTGTTGTGGCGTCATGCGTTGTTCGTGCGTGCGGCTGAAGGCCGACCCGGCGCTGCTGGTGTCTAAGCGGCTGCCCAACTCGGCCAAGAGGTCCAAACTGCTGCCCACACTGATCCCACAAAAGGAGTACAAGCATCCAGAGATCGTCAAGCGCATCATCCGAATGTCGCTGCGCAAGGAGCGGGACGCTGTCATCTGGTACAACTTGTGCGGCCAGGCCATCGAGAACCGCTCTGTCTTGCTGCCCATTCACATGGCCGAGATACTGCGGGCGTGCGCGAGGGTGGGTTATAGGCATGGCGAGATGATGGCCCTGTTTGCGGAGAGCCTCAAGCAGCGGGCGGACGTCAGGAGCGTCGTCCTGGCCCTCACCGCCCTGCAAAAGCTTCAGGTACACACACAGGTTCGGTTCAAGTGGATGTAGACGGCTGTGGATGCTGCTGTCTGGCTGTCTGTGTGTGTGCAGATGCCATGTGAGGCTCTCAAGAGTTCCTTCCTGCGTCAGCTTGGCGGCAACTGCGCCAGCCTGAGCTTCATCGACCTCCGACACGTGCTCAGCGCCTTTGCATCGCTGCAGGTGAGCGCACCCACACACGCATGAGATGGATGGACCACCCACGAGTGTGTATGTATGTCTGTGTGCAGATCGGTGTGAGCCACACTGAGCTGCTGCATGAGGTTTGTGACGGGCTGCTGGCGGCCGCATATGCGTCAGAGCAGCCCGACATGACGGGCATCGACGGCCGTGAGTTCCTGCAGATACCGTACCATCTGGGCCGGCTGGGCTTCCCCCACCCCACACTGCTGCGGCTGACGTGCATGCGCCTCAAGAGCCTCATGGTCTCGCGGATTCGGTGCGCTCCCCTCGACGCACTCTGCGCCTATGACGGCTTCCTGAGGCTGGGTGGGCCATCAATTGGGGGAGAAAGGGCGTGCGTCCGAAGAGGATCACGTGCTTGATTCATTGCCTTCGTTATGTGTCTGTCTGTTCACAGGTGAGGAGTATGAAGGCATCGCTGAGAAACTGGAAATGGTACGCTCATGGCAAATCTGTGTGTCTGTGTGTCTGTTTACGCAAAAGTGGTGCTGGGTAGGGACATCTGTGTGTCTGTGTGTCTGTCTGTGTCTGGGTCATGTATGTCTATGTGCAGTACGGTCGATTTCTGCTGGCTGAGGTGTCGACGAAGGATCTGCTCAACATCGCTGCATCGTTCACTGCCCTCGACATATCCACCAACCCGGTCAGCCAGCCAGCGAAGACACATTAATCACACTCACGAGCCAATTGCTTCCCACCGTACTATCGTTGCTGTGTTGTTGTGCAGGTGTGGTCGATATGGGCGGACGAAGTGGCCGACCGGCTGGAATCACTCGACGCCCGGCAGCTGGACTCGGTGCACCAAGTCTACAAGCTGCTGGGCAGGCCTACCAACCGCCTCTTGTGGGTCAAGACACAGCCAAGACACACACAGCAGCAGCAGATCCCTGCGACTTCGTCACCTGATGACGGAAGTGCACTGAGCCGGCGCAATGGCATCAGATCGGCCGTGGGTGGGGACAGGGGTCATGAGAGTGATGAAGACGACACGCTGGTCGTCATCGATGACGACCGGCCGAGTGGTGCCATTGGGGGTGGGGAGGGCGGTCGTGAGGGGATGACGCAGGCTGCTGTGACGTGAGCGACAGACAGAGTGGGAAAAGAGAGGCTGACACACAATGTGTACATGTACTGTAGCCTTGTAATGCGTATACATGTGATACACACACATGTGCATGAGACACACTTACACAAAACGCCCCACACCGAGACACGTACAGACAGACAAAAGCCAGCGCACGCACAGTCCGCACTCTCTCCCTTTGAGGGACGTCCTTGTCCTCCTTCTCTGCGATGTATGTGTGTCCGTGAAATGGATGGATGGATGGATGGATGGCAGAATTTCCCGGGAGGAGGTGGGCATCAGCCTGCATCCGGCGGTCATCAGGGAGCACTCGGCAGGCGTCAGGGGACCAGTTTTTCATCACCAAACCCGGTTTTCTGTCACAAAACCCGGTTTTCTGTCACAAAACCCAGTTTTCCTATCGAGTGTCTGGTTTTTCGGGCAGAAAACGGTTTTGCAGCTGGAAACCCAGTTTTGCACTTGTCTTCCTCCTGGTGGTGCAGGGAGAGGTCCGGGTGTGTGGTGGTCGTGGCCAAGATTAAACAAATTTACAGACGAACGCAAAAGTCTGCTGCTGGGCTAATGGCCTGGTCTGTGCTCTCCGCAGCTCTCCTCCTGGGTGCGTCAGCCCGCACCACGATAAATGCATCCATCAGATCACCCATAAAACCCTTTCTCTTGTGCATGGCGCTTTGCAGGGGTTGCTGCAGGAGTTGTTGTCGGCACCTTCGAGCCGTACGACACGTACCAGTCCACGCTCGAGAAGGCTGGCGGGCGCTTCCTCAACTTCATCCACGACCCACAACCATCGGCGGCCGCCACCGAGGGAGAGGAGGGAGTCCCCTCCTTCGCCCAGGAGCAGGAAACGGCCGAAGCCAACATTACCGGTGTGAATGTAGCGACACAACCATAGATACCAGCAACGCCTCACCTGTAGCGTCTTTCGGGTGTGTTTGTGGTCTACAGGCTGGAGAGACGACGAGCTTGTTTTTGCTGTGGAGATCTGCCGACACGGTGCGCGGGCGCCCATGGAGGAATTCACGGTCATCCATTCATCCCTTGGCTGAATGATGCACCGGCCTCCTATTCTTTCTTATCGTTCGATCTTGTTGTGTGCGCGTGTGTGCCGGCCGGCAGGGTGATAAGGAGAACAAGCTCAACAATTGGCTGGGTGGCAGAAGCTATCTCACCCAGGTTGGCGAGGTCCAGGTAAGTGCATCCATCCATCCATCGGTCTGTCTACAGACATATTCATGACGTGTGGATGTCCGGTATATCTATGTGTGTATCTACCCATCAGCACTGGCTGCTGGGGCCGATCCTCCGCGACCGCTACGTCAAACAGTACAACTTGCTCTCACCCACATATGCACCGGTTTGTATGAAAGGATGCACACAAGACGACATAATAGATAGATCTGCACAGGTGGCTCATGCATCACACTGTTTGTTCCCTCTTTCTTTCTCTCTCTCTCCCTCTCAGGGAGAGATCTACATCCGCTCGTCGGCCATCTGGCGCACAGTCATGTCGGCACAGGCACAGATGGCAGGCCTCTACCCACCTGGCACAGGTCAGTACCTGGGGGCGCTCGTGTCATGCACATGGACGGACGGATGGATGGATGGATGGATGGAAACATACTGGCTCAATGTGTGTTTGCAGCGCCCTCTTACACGAGTCAGCAGACCGAGAAGCTCCGCGCTACATATGCGCAGGCCATCGTGGGGTTGCCACCTGACATGGATTGGGAGTGTGATGTAGATGTGAGTAGCTGACTGCGACCCATTGCTACATTTCATTCAGTGCGCATGTCTTTGTGACACGAGAGGTGTGCTTGTGTGTCTGTGCTTGTGTGTCCGTGTTTGTGTGTGTATACATGTATGTATACACACAGACAGTGAGTATGTACGTGTACGTATATGAGACATGCACAGTCCTACTCTACATGACTCATTGTTTCTCTCTTCCATGTCGTCAATGAACGACAGAGACGGCGTGGCCTCCGCCCTGAGGGGCAGTCGATGGCTCTGGAATCGGGTCATCGGCACGGACATCAACCTTGAACCCGCCCGCCGTGCACTACAGGACAAGGCCACCGGCAACCGCTCTGCAGACGGGGAAACACACGCGTCCGAGACAGCGGGGAGTTCCACCCACACCGACGGTCGCAACGTGCGCCCACGGGCCGCCAGGAGCCAAGCACACACCGAGTCCTACTGTAAGCGAGCACACGACGTAACAACACAGAGACACATGCAGACGAACACTCATGCAGGAAGACACACGACAGTCCAACATGTGTATGTCTTGATCTGTCTGTGTCTGTGTTTGTGTCTGCCTGTTGTGTGTGCTTGTGTCTGTGTGTCTGTGTTTGTGTCTGCCTGTTGTGTGTGCTTGTGTCTGTGTGTCTGTGTTTGTGTCTGCCTGCTCTGTGTCAGACGTTCGTTGGTTGAGGGCCGAAGCCAAGTCAATCCAGAGCGACTGGTGCCCGCAACTTCGTCCTCAATCTTCCGGGCGACAATGTGGTGACTGGTGTGGATCAGCGCCTTGTTCTCATCGTCAAGAAATCCTATCGCTACCTCCTGGTGAGAAAGTGCATCTCGTGCGGATCCCTCTCAGCGCACGTGTTCTGTGTCCCTCAGTGGTCGCTCCGACTCAAGCGGCGTGTGGAGGGCTGGCTGTCGTCAGTGCGGGACCACTTTCGGTTTCATACCACGCCGCACCCATGTGTACAACAGCCTCAGCCAGTGCATACCTCACTTATGCCCACCTCGGCGGGTATGGAGGCGAGGCCCCAGGTGGTGAGGCCACCAGGTCGTGAGGACGCTCTGCGTCGCCTGGACGAGGACAGATATGAGGCGGCATGCGATCGACTCAGGCATGCGATGAATGAGGGAGTTTTGGAGATGACGGCTGCGTTGGCTGATGACGAGTGCTCTCACCTTTGGCTCACGAGGTGAAAGAAGAACTCGCTCAGACCTGGAGGGATTCCCGTTTGTGTGTGTGTGTGGAGCACATCAGGCCGGGCGGAGTCAGTTGCGTGAGGAGATGGTCGGGGCAAACAACACACTCACCTCTGCTGGTGGCGCTATGTCGAATGGCCTCGTCACTTACTTCGATCAGCATCGCCTTCAGGGTCCGTGCGGAGCTGAGGGGCTTGTGGACTTGACAGAGCAGGTAAGTGAGGGATCAGAGGCAGGTGGTGCATTCCTGACATTGTCGCCGAGCTGCATACAGGAAGTGAAGATACTGGTGGCCGACCTGCAGATTCTCCACCAATGTCGCCGCGTCATGACCACACCTGAGCTGAGCCGCGAATGGGCAAGGCGAATGGGTGAGTTCCTGACCAGGTGCTCGACAGTTGGCGTCGTGAAGGTACGCGACATCCATCCACGCGCCACGACGACAGATAAGAATATCAGGTTCACTATGTCTGTGTCTGTCGCGGCTGAGGTTAGGTGAGATCTGTGGTGACACGTGTCGGTGCCCACCTGCCCCCCCTCGAGTGACGTCGGAGATCGGTGGACGCCAAGAAAGAGAGAAATGTGTCAGTGGGACTCGTGTGTGTGCCTGCAGTGCATGTTTGTGCGCATGTTTGACTGTGTTACCATGCCACCGATTGCGCGTTCACTGCACGTTCGACGTTAAATATTGACAAGCAACTCATGTCCGTCACCAGGCCACAAGTAGTGGGTGTGGATCCTGGTGACTTTTGCATCGTCGCGCCGAACACCGTCATCCACTGCGAGGTGTACATACACACACACACACACACACGCACAGGCAGACTGGCCCCTTCTTCTCTCACTCACTGAGTCAGTCAGTCAGTCTCTGGGCAGTAGGTAGCCATCCCTCCCTCTATCTACTGCTCGCCACCTTATGTCATTCGCGTCTCGTGTGTCGATGTGTGTCATCAGGGTGAGGCTATCATCCGCGAGGACGAGGAGCGGCTGGACGATGTGGGCTACGAGGATGTCGGGGGCTGCCGCAGACAAATGGCGCAGATCAGAGAAATGATCGAAGTCCCACTGGTGAGCCGCCACACCGAGTGAGCCGCCACACCGAGTGTAAATGACCAAGACACACGTGCATTCAAATACCAGGGCGTGCGTGAATTCGAGACGTACGTGAGGAGAAAGGGGGCCGCAAGACACACAGACATACAAACGGCACGGGAGATAGATGTGTTGTCCCTCCATCCTTTTCTGTGTGCATGATAGAGCGGACAATTTGGCCACGCTGGCTCGCATCACCGGGGTCAGACAGCTGGCGCAAGTCGATTCGATGGAGGGGGACCGCCCCCGCGACCTTCCGCCGTTTATTCCGATCTTCACCGGCGACAAACATTCAGACGAGATACTCCAAGCCATAGTCACAAAATTTATCGTCCAGCCCGCACACACACAGAGAGAGATCCCCTTGAGACACGGCCAATCTCTCCTTCCTCTCTGTGTCGCTCTGTCTGATCAGGAGCCGTTCATCTGCGACAAGTATGAGTCCGTGTGGCGCGCCCTCAACAACAAAATGGACAAGGGCAAGTACCAGTTCTGGAGTTCATCCGGCCAGTTCTTCATGGACGTGTGCACCGGCAAGTTTGGGCACCTGCTCAGTGACCCATTCACCGGTCGAACCTACAACACGGTACGGTCCACAACACAACCTGGCTGGACACATCCCTGACCTGCATGACGGACGCATCTCACTGCATGGTGCCTTTCCTGTCTTCCTGCCGATGGATGGATGGATGGATCACTGACAGACATTGCCGGAGCAGAACGAGATACACGAGCAACACATCAACGAGCTCTTCGCCAAGAACCCACCCGGTGAGTCAGTCCGCAGTTATTGACAGTGGGGAGACAGAGCAGGAGAACTCAAGCTTCTTACGTATGTCCGTCTGTCTGCAGGCGCTCCCCTCCACGAATACTGCCTCCTCGATAACCCCATCTTGTCCAATATGCACACATCAAGACAGACAGAATGGGAGAATGCGGCTCAAGTGTGTGTGCATCTGTGTCATCTGTGTGTGTCTCACTGATTCAGCCGCGCTGGCCTGCTGGGCGACGCTCTAGCTTCCATACTCTACGGTAATTTCCTAATTTCCACCGTAATTTCCTTCCTCTCTCGCGCTGTGTGTGTGTGTGTGTGTGTATGTGTGTGTTGGTGCCTGGCTGCGTGCAGATGGCCGGAATGTGGTCAGCATCAAGGAGGACTTCTCCGAAAAAGAGATCAAGTGCGGATTTACCCTCCGGATGCAAGACATTCATGCAACTGATTGACCCTGTGGTGTGGTCTCTGTGTCTTAATCTGCTTGTCCCTCACTCATTCATCAGCGAGCTGCAAAACTACATGGACGTTAAGTACAGCTTCACCTTCGCAGACGAAGTAAGTCACCAACACACACACACACACACAGACAGAGAGAGGGAGAGAGAGAGAGAGAGAGAGAGACGCGGCCTCCGCCTTTTAAAATATTAGTGTGTCTGTGGATGCATTCATTCATATGTGTAGTTCTTCGGCCGCATGGCGAGCAGCAGCTTCCTGGACATCGTGCAGCGGGCCATCGAGGCCAAGAAGGCCGCCCACGCCAAAGAAGGCACCTACACGGCCGTCATGAGCAAAGCCAAGAAACACATTGCACACGTACGCACCTCAGCCAGCCACAGAGGGAGGCAAGCAGGGCCAGTGTCTGTGTGTGTGTGTGTGTGTCTTGTATCCAGTATTCGGGTATCAACCATCGGAGGAAGAGGACACACACGCCATGCATCCCTGTCTCTCTCTCTGTCTGTCTGTATGTCTGTCTGTCTGTCTGTGGCTGCGTGTTGTGTTGAATTGGCGCATCGATGACTCCATCAATCAGGTATGACGGAGATCAAGTTCTCCGAGCTCAAATTTCTCCTCTTCTCGGCACACGATAGCCTACTCACATCCATCCTTTCCACTCTGGGTGGGTGGGTGAGCTATCGGCGGTCATCCATCCGAATGTCTGCCTGACGTGTGATGTGACCTGGCTGCCTGCATCATGTCATGGACGGATGGGTGCGGTGCAGGCATGTGGGACAACAAGGTCCCGCCATTCCCCAGCCACCTCCTCATCGAGCTGTGGAAGAACAAGGAGGGCAGATACATCGTCAAGGTCCGTAAGATAGCGAGGACTCTGCTACCCCCTTTCCCTCTAGATGTCATTCTCGCGTCTCCCTCACGTCTCTCTCTCTCCATATGTGTGTGTGTGTGTGTGTATGCAGATAATTTACAATGGTCAGGAGCGGGAGAAGTCTTATGACAGCTTCATGAAACTCATGGCGTCAGTAAACCTAAGACACACAGAGAGACGGAGCAAGGAAGAGAGACATGGAGTGCAGCAGAAAGGGCTACGATGTTCCTGCTGGTCGGTCACGCGCGTGTGTGAATCAAATCAGCCGAACGCTGGCCGCTCCCGGAGTGCCTGGCGGGCGCCTGAACTTGGAGCACTGGTGCCTCAACGCTGAAGACCCTGACTTGATCCCTGATGCAAAGGCCGTCTACGTACGCACAGACACACAGAGGCCGGCGCGTTGGTCATCCATGGACACATGTCTGTGTGTGTGCGGTGCAGAATAACCCCGATTTGCTGCATCGCAATCCCCCTGCTCGCCACGCCACTCGTGCCGACTTCCCCGTGTGTGTGAAGATGAACAAGCAAATGGCCGGGAAAATCGCCACTCAGGCACGCACATGATTCCTCCTTCATTCGTATGAAAACTGTAATTGAAGTGTTGAACGGTGATTCATTCATTCACTCAGGAGAAGATGCGGCCGCTGACGGAACAGGGGCCCGTCGCATCGAGAACCAGGATCAGGAAAACGGCGAGCAGCAGCATGCTCCTCGAGCAGGGAGAGCTCTGACTGAGGCAGCCAGCCAGCCAGCCAGCCAGCTAGCCAACAACGTATCCACACGCACATACATGTATAGGGGCCGAGGGGGTTGGTTGGTTGGTGTGGCTGATTTCGTGTTTTGAGTCAGGACTGAATAAGGGTAATTAAGTGACTGGTTTCCGTTCGACCAAATACATACGTATACATCCATTCAACGAACGTACAGATGATGGATGAATTGCATGCCCATGAATGAACGAACAATAAACAGACCGAGACGCACGGCAAATCAGACAGGCAGACATAGATAGAGTTCATTCAGGCACTCGAGTGCACACACGGTAGCTAGTCTGCAGCACAGGAAACCTAAATTCATGACAACACGTTTATCGGCGGCATGCATATGGAACGAACGGGTGAGCGAGGGAGGCAGCCGGTGTGTGTGTTTATGTATGTAGTGGTGATCAGTGATTATATACGAAACGGCTGGACAATCATCGGTCGGCCACATGCGGGGATGGATGGATGGACTGTGGGTCGTCGCCACACACACACAGACAGACTGGGTCAATGGGTGGGTGGGTGGGTGGGTCGGTGGGTGGTGCGTGCACATACAAGTGAGACGTGTCGGTCAACGAAAATTGATTTGAGATGAAAGGGAGGCAGACACAAGTGCGTTTCGCGCTGCTTGAATATGCTTATATGCTGTCTCAAGAGCGTTCCATCTCGCGACCAGTGTCCTTATTCCTGCTCGGATCGCAACACGCGGGGGTGGCTCGAACAGGAGGAAACCCGACGTGTCCTGCTCGACCGTCGCGTTTGCTCGTCCTCGAGCGGCCCGCCCCCCGCACGTCACTCAAGGCACAGCACACATGCACCCAAACCTCACGTTGCCTTCTGCCTGCCTCCTCCCTCCCTCCCTCCCTCCCTCTTGCCGTGAATCGAATCAGTCAAGCCAGTAGTCTGCCCAGCTGTGCCTGCCTAAAATTGCCGCTCAGCAGACAGCACCTGACCAGCAAATCGGCCCGTGGCCAAACGACGCCAACGTATTTTCCTCCAGTCGGGGCCTCGGTTGCACAACCGAGGTGCCCTCTCGCAGTTCGCTGTACACCAACACACATGGGCGCTCGGACGGTCGTGAAAAGGGTCACAGTAGACCCGGCAGCCACGGCACACCAATCAGCTGGTGAGGTCGAGTCTGCCCTCCTCCTTGGCTCGAGCCACAAGGTACTCGATGGCGCTGCGGACGAAGTAAAAGTTGGAGCTCTCATAGTCGTCCTCAGGGATAGTGATGTCAAGCTCCTCCTCAACCCTGCAGCACACACACAGACGGACACACACACGGTGGCATGCAATGCCACGCAGTGGGGCGCTGCACTGCAACTGGTTGTGCAGGTGACTTCCCCCTCCCTCTCCCTCTCCTGCCCACCTTGCGAGCGCCTCAACCTGCCCGACACTATCGAGCATGAGGTCGAAGTTGATGTGGTCCTCCTCGCTGATCTCGTCGACGCTCTTGCACGACACGTCGGCCAGCACCTCCTTGACAGTGATGACGATGTCAGACTCTCGCAGCACCGGCTTGCTGCTCGTTGCTGCCAGAAGCCTCAGATGCGTCGGTCGAGGGGGCGAGGGAGGGGAGGGGATGAAAGATGGAGCCGCCGCCGCATCAGAAAGGCTCAGGATAGAGAGGAAAGAGGAGAGAATCAGATGCACGATGGAGACCATGTTGAGTCACGTCACCATGGGGGACCACGGAATGCTGGATGTCTCTCAAGCACGCGCGGGGGGAAGGGAAAAAAAGGAAACAGGAAGGCCACGTACGACGGCATCGGGATGCCTTGAGGCTTTAATGCGGTTCGGGAATGAATGCTCTCCGAGATCTCCGCCAGCTGCAGGCATGGCAGCGCCGCTGCTGAGCGCTCTCATCTGGTCCCTCGTCATCTGCCGCTGTGCAGACGCCTACCTCTCCCCTCTCCCTCAGATCATGATGCCGCGACTCATCCCGCGACGACCCGCCTCGCTGACTGTCCTCCAGCAGCAGCAGCCGCCTGTGAATGAACCAGGTGACAACTGGCTGGCCGACAGGGAGACGGTCGTCAAGGCGGCGCTGATCCGTGACATTATCGACCATTATGAGGCGGCGAGTGAGCTGGATCCGTTTGACACTTCGCCGATCCAGAAGGAGCTGCAGCTCTTCACCAAGGGCAAGCTGTACGAGAGCGTCATGATCAAGGCCCAGGACAACCAGCGCACCAAGCCGCGGCGGCTCGAGAAGCTCAAGCAGATCGACAAGAGGATACTGCGGTATATCAAACCCATCCGCAGCAGGAACGCCAGGATGAAGGTCGAGCGCATCATCAGGGCGCTCCAGGCAAGCAGGGACACACACACACACACACATATATATGTGTGACGTGTGTGTCTATGTGTGTGTATGCGTGTGTGCAGGAGGGTGCGGGCAGCGTCGATCTGGAGCTGGAGCGGATGATGGAGGCGGGGGCGTTCGACTCGAACCTGATAGACTACCTGGACGAGACCATCCAGCGGGCCAGCGGCCTCAGCGGCAACGAACAACACGACGCACTCACCGCCGCATTCCTCAAAAACATCAAACTCAGGTACGTGTGTGCGTACGTGTGAATGTGTGTAATGGGTGCAGGTGCGCACAGCCAGCCAGACAGAAAGAAAGACAGACATCACTCAACGACGGCGGGCGGGCGGGCGGGCGGGAGGGAGGGAGGGAGGGGAGACCATCTGCTTGCTTTTCTGGGCAAATGTCATCCATATGTGTGCGCAGGATCTTGGCAGAAGTGCAGATGACTGGGAAGGGCAATGAGCGATACGTGCGCACACTGGCGTTCGGCAAAAAGGTCAGTCAGGACGACGGAACGGGACGGGAGAAAGAAGAACACCAATGTGATGTGATCTTGTGTGTGGTCGGTGCAGATTGACAACAAGCACCAGAGGAGGGAATTCATGCAGGTAAACGAACGAACACCGGCACCGGCAAAGGCTTGCTTGATTGCGGCTTCGATTGGCCGCCTGTCTGTCTGTCTGTCTATCTATGTCGCTGTGTGCGGTGTGTGTATTCCGTCCCCCTCAGCAATCGATCGGCAGGATAGAGGGCCTGGAGGAGTTCAAACAATTCCTCCAGGAGGCCATCCAATACAACGGTCAGTCAGTCATGGATGGATGGATGGAGGGAGGGAGGGAGGGAGGGCGAACTACCTGACAACACACACACACAAACGCCTGTCTGTCTTTCTGTCTGTCTGTGTGTCCATCGATCAGAGCACAGCGACAAGCCCATCTTCAGCGACTCAGAGGTATCGCGGATCCGGGAGATGATAGCCGACTGCGACCTCATCAACCCCCTCATCACCAAGCCGCGCGTCGACTTCCCCGGCATGCACGGCGCAGACAACCCTCTCAACGAGGCAGAGGACAGGCCCTACTCGTTCCCAAGACCAGCACCGCGGCAAGCCGCCGGCTGAGAGAGTGAGGGAGTGAGCCAGCGACACAGCCAGAGAAGGACGGAGCGAGACAGGGGAGGGAGGGAGGGAGGGATGCGTAGTCATGAGGCTGCATGTGTGTGTCGATAAGCAAGGTGGATGTATGCTTTTAAGGGTCGGCGGCAAACTGGCAAGATGCTGGTGTGACGTCAAATGATATTTTGCGGGTGGGTACGCAATGCGGGTTCAAAACCCTACAACCTGACAAACCTCAACCAACACCTTCAAACCCCAACCCAGACGATTTGAACCCAAGGCGCTGAGCTCGCAGATCCCAAGGCAGATCTCGAGGCATCCTCAGCCTTGTTTTCTTTTGGCTGAGGATGCCATCGGCTTCCCCTTCCTCTGGGGGTCATGTTGGTCCTCGTCCGGTCCTCGTCCGTGCCCATTTGGCTGTGGTTGGCGTCTCCGATCTTTCCTCGTGATGCTGCCCGCCGCAGCTCATCATACCGCTCAGCCTTATTGGCTCTTCCTCTGGCGTCCTTCTCGCCCCCCCGGCACGCTCTCCCACATCCCCCCGAGCCTCAATTGGGTCTCCATCGTGAAGATCTGCTTGACGACGCCGTCTCAGCGGACCGACGTGACGAGAACTGCCCTCGCTCCTGCCTGGGACATGCGGCTTCCCCCCCGTCCCCGTTCGTCAGGGTGTGCTGAACCGCTGGTGTTGCCGTGGTGAAGCTGCAATGATGCTTGCGTAGGGATGGGAGGGCATCTGCTTTATTGCATGGTTCGCTTGTTGCACTGGCACCGTGATCATGATGTGCTCTGTGTGGTGTGGGTGGAGGCGGTCTGTCATGTCTTGTCATTTGGATGGTCTCTGTGTCTGAGGTAGCCATCACGTGAGGTCGCACGCCGCCATGTCTTTTCTTTTGCGTGCACATGATTACGCGTGTGGTTATACTTCGGCGTGCCTCTGTGTATTGAGACCAGACTCCTGTCATTCATGGTGCTGCCTCTGTCCGTCTGTGGGACCCTTCTTGCCTCTGTCTGTCTAGCTTGCTTCCCCCGCCTTCCCCCTGCCTTTCATGTCCTCGTGCTCATCATCTTCGTTTGAGTGCTTGGTGGTGGGGGTGAAGCGGCTGGTGATGTCTTGTCATTGGTGTGGTCT